AAAACCACCATTTTATAATACCAAAAACCAACATTTTTTTTATATCAACCTAATATATATATATATATATATATACACGAGTATATTATTTGTTTCAACAACTATGTATTTTCTTTCCACCAATTGATTCATCACTCATTATTCTGTTCATAAAAATATTAAGATACGATTATTAAAAAAATTAATTAATAGTTTACGAGTTATTTAACATATTTTTATGTCAATATATGCCAGAATAAGGTATAAAATATCTCGTAAACTATTTGTTTTTTTATATCACTACTTTTTTTATATAATACTTTTATGTTCAGAATAATTAAAGGAATCATATTGTGTAAAAAAAATCATACAATTATATTTAAAAAAATAGAGGTAACCTTGAAGTCTCAAAAAATATGATCTGAAAAACATTTTTTTCTCATCATAATATGTGCCCGTTCGAATCGAACAACTATCTTCTTTGGTATTTTCTCATACCATTAAAAACAACGGAGATATTTTAGATGGTCAAGTTAGAAGAAACACCCTGTATATATTTATATATACAGTCATATAAAAAACTATACAAATTTTACTTAAAACATCTTTATATATCTTATTGTTATGACGATAATTACTTACGCACATGAGCACGGATAGAGTATATAAAGAAGCGTTTATAATTAATTCTAAAAAATGTTATAATATTAATATGTTGTAATATAACTTTATTATACATGATTGAATTTGGAAAAAAATAATCTTTAATTCGGTAAAAAAAAATTTAAAAATTTAGGGAAACTGTGAATATTAAAGGTATATTGTTAAACAAAAAAATTTTTTTTAAATTAAAATAAAAAAATTTATTTTTTCACAACTTTAAAATAATCTTGAAACCGTACAACTTTAATTAAAAAATTTTTTTTCCATTTTTTATACTTCTGACAATATTCGGCGCGAAAGAGAAATACCGTTTTTTTTTATTTTTTTCAAAGGAGTGTTTCACCCCTTAAGGACGTTCTCCAAAAAAATTTATTTTCTTCAAATTTTTCTGAAATTTACAGAATAAGCTTGTTTTAGTGTCCTGAACATATGTGTTTTAAAATTTATTGCCAGGAATGGAATATAACGTATAAAATAACTTGTCAATAAAAAGCTAATTGGACAGGTAAATAATTCCAGAAAAAATTTAAAAAAAAATGTTATGGTTCACGATTCTGTTCATAATCGGTTTCGGCAAAAATTTAGACATATAGTCAGCGGTGCTGTCTCAAAATCTTTTTCCAGTCTAAAAACAAATTGTCTTGTTTTATCAAAGCATCTAAAGATCCTCTTCCCACTTATTCTCATAAAAATGTAGTATATAAAATATCTTGTAATAATTGTGATGCTACTTATGAATAAACTGTAAACGGCTAAAGACTAGAATTCCTAAACGTAAGAATCACATAAAAAAAAATACCACTAACTCTGTCATGACGAATCACCGTCACGGTTACAATTTGGATATGATTTTAAATGAGACGAAGTTGAAGTTTTGGATCTAGAGACAAACTATAGGAAGCATTTAATTTCTGAAATGATGAATATCAAACGACAAAAAAATGACATCAATTTGAATACGAACACGGAATTAACCAAGCGTACCACTGTTATTTAAATTCATAATATTGTTTATGTATATGACATTGTATTTGCCGAACTCGATAATACGTAGGCTGCTGGAAAAGCTTTCTGCAATCTAGTACTTCCAGTGGCGCCAACGTTTTGCTATTATCATATCCGTAAAATTAGACGTTTTTAACCTATAATTCAATTGACAGTTTGTATCCAAGCCAACTAGTTTTGTTTGCATAATATTTTAAAAGAAGTTATTTTGTAAGAAAATGAAAATTTCGCGTAAAAATTTTCGGGCAATGATTTTTTACCATTACAAATGTAATCTAACTCCGAAACAATGCATCGATCGATTTTATTTGGCTTTCGGTGATGAAACCCCATCCAATAGGACTGTTTATAATTAGTTTGCCGAATTCCAGCGTGGACGTACCTTTCTTAGTGATAAATTCCGTGAAAGTCGTCCATCCACGTTTGTAATTGCCACTAATGTTGATACTGTGCGTAAAATGATTGAGCGAGACCGGCATATAACATACCACGAGATTCAGGCATCCTTAGCCATTGACATGAAAGCAATACATACGATTTTGCATGATCACTTGAGCGTACGGAAACTTTGCAGTCGTTGGATTCCACACAATTTGACCGAAGCTCAAAAACAGGCTCGTGTTAAATGGAGCAAAGAAATGCTCAAGAAATTCAACCGAGGTCGATCAAATTTGGTCTACAACATCGTTACTGAGGAAGAGACATAGCTCTATTCGTATAAGCCCGAAAGTAAACAACAATCCACTGTTTGGGTATTTCAAAATGAACCGAAACCAACAGAAGTTGTTCGTTCACGCAGTGCTGCCAAGCAAATGATTGCTTGTTTCTTCGGTTATACCGGGACATGTGACAACCGTGGCTTTAGAGGATCGAAGGACTGTAAATACTGATTGGTATACAACAATTTGTTTGCCAGAAATCATAAATGAAATGCGTAGAACAAACCGAAATCGTCGCATCATCCTTCATCATGACAACGCCAGCTGTCACACAGCACGTCAAACCGTTGATTTTTTATCCAGTAATAATGTCCAATTGATGACTCATTGTTCGTATTCACCTGATTTATCACCTAATGACTTCTTTTTGTTCCCAAACATTAAAAATAAGATGCGGGGTGAGCGATTTGAGTTGCCTGAAGCAGCTGTTGAAACATTTCGTACACTGATTTCTGAGGTTAAAGCCTTAGAGTGGAAAAAATGTTTCGAAAATTGGTTCGAGCGTATGCAAAAATGTATCGATCTTAAAGGCGAATACATCGAAAAACAATAAAGCCATTTACCGAATTTTACATGTTTTTTTTTCATATTGTTTGTAGAAACTTTTCCAGCAGCCTACGTATATGTAAGATTTTTACCATTAGTTCACATGCAATTGTAAGACTCAGAGTTTTTGGTCCTATCGTTTTTAATAACCTCATCATGTTATGTTAGAGGACTTTTTATATTTCATTTAGATATATTTTTTAAATGTTGTGTAACCTTATCTGTCGATACTTCTCGGGTTAGTTGTTGCGATTTTGTTTCATTTTGAATAGTTTTAACGCATTAAATAATTATTTTAAATCATCCAGCTTGCGAACTGGTTTTGAGATGAACTCCTTTCGCCGACAATGCATGAGAAAATTAGCGGACGATCACGTTATATCACTATCTATGACTAGAATAGATGGTTTTTTACAACGTTAAGAAAACTAGAAGTTAGCCAAAACGTCTCGTTCTTCATTTTATTAGTTGACGATATATTATTAATTTTATTATTTGACTTAACATCTTCTATATTTATATATTTATAACAACGCATTATTTATATTAGCGCACGAACTATAGCGCAGATTCCTATTGTCTTGATTTTGTATATTTATTATGTTTTATTTAATCAATCATTCGAGCTTGAAGATGAAACATTTTTACTTCCAATTATTCAATTATATAAATTATTGGAATATTTTTTGCCTAAACTTATATTATTTTACCTTCATAACATACTATTTTTTATAAAGAGAACTAGTAACAAACCTGATAAAACATTTGCCGGGAAGGAGGTACCATACCTTCCCGGTATATATACACATTCTCGTATAAATGCCGCTCCTTCTTCAAATTTTGTTCCTGATTCAACGTAGCAGTAAGTACTGCAGGTTTCTGTTTAGAAACAGGAGCTGATTTATATGGTAATGTGTAATTTGAATAATTTCTTTTACATCTGACAGTTGAACCTAATCCATCTATAAATCACATGAGAGTTAATTTAATAGAATCTTATATTAAATAAAATATACTTTAAAATTTAGATATATCTTTGATAATAAAACATAATATAACTTACGCATAGCTTTTAATCTATAATCCAATGTCTGATATTTTCTCGCATTAACATCCTTTCTTGGATCATAACCTAGTTTTACCCACATAATTCTCCATGGTCCAGTCATAAAATAATATGCTACTGATGGTAATAATATCTTCAGTTGTTCGGATGTAAATCGTGTTTTATACATAATGGCATTTTTTGACCAGATTGGACGCTCTTCGAATAGTTGACGTACTTGCTCCAAGTGTGTGTTTTGAAGAAACTTCACTTTCATAGCTGTTTCAATGCCTTTTGGTGCTGCGGTAGGTACTTCAGATGTAGAAAAGTACACGTAACTAGGAAAGCCTGCTTTAGATTTTTTGTTTGTATTAATTACATTATCTGAGTTTGAATCTGTTTCAGTTTTTGGTATATACTGTTGGACAGTATCCATTCTGCTGAAAACAGCTGGTGGAAGAAAATATGGTACATCGTTCTTCAACCAAGAATAAAGAGGAATGCCCGTTGGATAAATCAAACTATATATGCATTCCAATTTTTTTGGATTTAATCTATTCTGTGTCATTGGCACATATTGAAAATCACATAAATCTAAAAAGAAAAGATATTAATAGCTTTAATATATATGTATATGAGAAAAATTAATATAAAGATAATACTTTATATAATTTACATAATACACACGCACGCACGCACAGGGTAATTAATTTTAATTTTAATAGATAAATATTTTGAAAAATATAGAAGATACAGGAAAACGTTTTAGACAAAAATAGAACGATTTTAAGGGAGATATATTTTGGCCACGTTATTTTTTTTAGGTAGAAGCGCCAAAAAGATACGAAGGTCACTCAATTTGTTTTTAATGTAATTATATTTCTTTTTTATTTAATGATTCCTCTAATTATTTCACATATAAAAGTATTAAAGTAAAGATATAAAAAAATCAATAGTTTAAGAGATATTATATACTTTATTTTGGCATATATTGACATAAAATATTAAATATTATATCTCGTAAACCATTGATTTTTCGATAATTGAACCTTAATACTTTTGTGAACAGAATAATGAAATAAATCAATTGTGAAAAAAACACATATTATAATTGCTTATTTATAAAAGTATTTTATGTACATATTTTTTTTAACAAATATGTTTTTTTACACCAATTAATTTATCTTCTTATTCTGTTTTTAAAAATATTAAGGAATAATTATCAAAAAATTCTTATTTTACGAGAAATTAAATTTTATGTCAATATGAATAAAACAGAATAAAGTATAAATTACCTTGTAAACTATTGATTTTTAATATATCTACCTTAATACTTTTATAATGCAAAATAATTAGAGAAATTGTATTAAGTTAAAAGATTATATAAAATTCCATCTAATGAAGTAGAGTAGAGTGACCTTCGTATCTTTTTAATCCCTCCAGAAAAAAAATAACGTAACTAAAATACATCCCCCTTGAAATCGTTCTTATTCTCTGAAACGTTTTTCCATATCTTTAACATTTTTCGAAATATTTATCTATTATAATATTAAAATAAATCCCCGCATATACAGAGTGATCCATAGATAAGTAACCATACCTTGTTATCTCATAAATTAAAAGAGGTAAACTTAAAAAATATATCAAATTAAATTGTTGTAACTAAACTATTGTAAGTACAGTGATCACTTAGAAAAATTATTTGTGTTAAAGACTGTAGAGATATACATAATTTTTGCACGATAAAATAAATATTTTGATATAATAAAAGTTATAGTGTCCGTTCTAATAAATACAACAATATATGTATAACATAATAAAGTTACAAATTATACAAGTTATTTTGATTTAAGATTTTACGTAAACTATTATAATACTTTTTCAGTTTTGGTCCTATGATACAGCCAACTTCCAACTTCGAAACTGAAAAAATAATAATCCCTGCAAAATCTTAAACCTTTTGTATAATTTATAAAATAATTTTGTTATATATCGTTTGTTATATCATATATTACATATTGTACTTGATAAAAGGTACAACTTGTACATATTATATCAAAATATTTTTTTACGTGTAAAAATTATGCATATCTCTGTTCTAAAACATGGATAATTTTCTAACAAGTAAATCTATCTTTCTGTCACTTGACAAATTTTATGAAACTTGATACATTTGTAGAGCAGACAAAAATAATAGACACGTATTTTTTTATATCGGCAATGGTGCAGGTTTGAAAATGGAAATTACCCTTACAGTGATAAACGCGATCACCTAATTTCTTGCATCTTAGCTTACTCTATTAGAGCTACTGCTTTTAGAAGTGATATGAGGCACGTTTCCTAAAAGCAAAGCCAATACAGAAAATGTAGAATTCAAAATGGCACACTTAATATGGCGACCTACTGAAAGAGAAACAATCTTATCTCACTCTTTGCCGAAAGGAATAACTGAAGAGGTCTATCCCCATTTCGTCTTTCTTTTTTTTTACTTTTCTTTATTTTTTATATATTTTTTTTGTTTCTATATTTGTTTATATTTTTACAATTTTTGTAATATTTGTAATTTTGTAGCGCAATTTTCATTTTTATTTTATGTATTCTTTACAGAAAGGATATTAAAAAAAAAACTCTTGTATGCATAAAGATTTTGTACATCAAGCGCATTTTACGACTGCTACATTATCACACATCAAAGCACAAAAACTTTCACAATTTTTAAAACAATAATCTACGAGATTATAAAAATAAAGTAGTTTCTCTTATAAATATTCATTTTTGTACGAATATTTAAATAATTTATAAAAAGAGAAGATAACTGATGTATATATATATAAGCGATTGAAGTTTGCTAACGTTGTTTCGTAAGTGTAAGTTCACGTCGTAATTATACAAAATAACTGTATCTGAAAATGTTTAATAAAATTTTTCCAAATTCTGAAGCCGAATATCGAGAGGTTGAATCATCTCAGTTGTTTTTGAGGAGTTTTTAAAATTTTAATATTTTTTGATAATTTATCCATTGCCTCAAATGTTTTCAAATTTTAACTGTTCCATAAATCTAAAACACTATTATCATTGCAATTAGGGAGATAAACATTTGTAAACTATATTTTTATAAAATTCGTTGCCCTGTCGTTTTACCTGAATTTGAAGGTAATACAACATTATTACATTTAAAAAGATTAGCTTCTACTCGAGGTCCAATTCCATATTTTTCTTGTAAAATAATTAACAGCAGTGACAAAAGAGAATCATTGATATGATGAGCTGAATTGTATAACTATGTGTCATAGAATTCGTTAATCAATATAAAAAAATATAGAAACAAAAAAAAAATATAAAAAAAAATATAAAAAACAAAAGTAAAAAAAGGCGAAATAGGGATAGACCTCCTCAGGTTCTTCCTGAGAAGAGCGAGATAAAATTGTTTCTCTTTCAGTAGGTCGCCATATTGAGTGTGCCATTTTGAATTCTACATTTTCTGTACTGGCTTTGCTTTCAGGAAACGTAATAGCTTCTTATCACCTCTAAAAAGCAGTAGCTCTAATAGAGTAAGCTAAAATGCAAGAAATTAGGTGTTCATACTTATCACTATAAGGATAATTTTCATCCTCAAATCTGCACCATTGCCACTATAAAAAAACACATGTCTATTACTTTTGTCTGCTCTACAAATGTATTAAGCTTCATTAAATTCGGCGAATAATGGAAAGATTTACTTGTAAGTGATCACCATGCTTACAATAGAACAGTTTAATTGATATCCCTGATGAAAAAATTTCGCTAAAATTTCAGTAAAATTTTAGAGAAATAAAATTAATTAATCTAGTTATTGCTAAAATAAATATTATTGATTATTATCATATTCTAGAATATACAACAAAATTGTAAAAAAATGTTTCCCTCTGAATTCGGGAATTAATTTTATGGTGCTCCTAAAGGATCATCCATTATAATGCTATATCTCGCGTCACTTGATGCAATGAGAAGATGAGAACTGCTTCTTTGATAATCGATAAATACCCATGTTAATGAACGTACAGTTGTAACGTCGGATCAAAGATGTTGAGAGAAAGATGAACATGTATATTGTATATATAAAATATATTTATTATAAATGCATATATATATGATATTAAATGCATATATATATATAATATTAAAAATCCTATTTTTAATATCTTACAATAATTTGTGCAATATTTTTTAAAAAAGTTATAAATGTATCAATTTTAAAAAATTAATAAAATGATAATATATAAATTAAATAACAATAAAAACAAGGGCAAAGTAAGAGTCAACGCATTTCTCCGAAAAAATCATACAGATGAAGGAACAAATTAAAAATATAAAAAAATAATAAAAAAGAAAGACAAGATATATATTTAAATAACAAGTAAAATGATCATAAATTAAAAAACATTACAAGTTTCGGCTACCGGATTGAGCCCTCTTCAGACATTAACATATCAAAAAAACCATAGTACAAAAATAATTAATGTTCGCATAATCACAGTTCGGGTGAGTCTTGATGTAAAACTCGACATTATTCGCATACAATTGAGCAGTCAAATGTGTTTCGTGTCACTTGAAACAGTTCTAGTTAGTAAAAAAGATAAAAACTACTTAAAAAAGTGCAACTAAATTAACATACCGAAACATTTAGAACGTAATTCAAACTCACCAAAAAAGACAAGTGTAAATTATTCAAACAGACGTGCCCATACAAGAATGAAAAACCACCAGAATATACTAAATTAGGTGGAACGCAGATATGTAAGACAAACATAGTGTATCAATTGTTATGTACGCTCGCTAATACGGATCACCACGGACTGAAAGAAGAGACGGACTGTTAGTACCGAAAAGTCAAACTTTATTTATAATAGGAATATAAACTTTGTAAAGACTTTCAGTATCAGTTTGTAAATTTAGACTATTTTTCTGCTTCTTGATATTGAGCATCTCGGAAATTAAACGTTTCCTATAGCAAGGCTCTTCGTCTAAAATTTTGACTTTATCCTATTGGAAATCGTGATCATGCTGTCGTCTCGGTTATGACAGAACGGACAGAAGTGTCGTATCTAATGTGATTGCAATGCTCTGTAATCCTGGTTTTTAATTGTCTGCCCGTCTGTCTAACATATTTTTTTATTTATGATCACTTTTACTTGTTGTTTTAATATATATCTTTTCTTTCTTTTTTATTATTTTTTGTATTTTTAATTTATTCCTTCATTTGTATGATTTTTTCGGAGAAATGCGTTGACTCTTACTCTGCCCTTGTTTTTATTGTTATTTAATTTATATATGAAGAGTCCTTGAATTGTTCTTTATGATAATATATGATGCGCAATAAAAACAATTACAACCAAAATGTGCTACGAGCAAAAAGCTAGATCTTAGTTGCTAATATTTAATAATCTATTTAAACATTCCAATAAACGTTTCGATCACTTATTAAATCATTTTCAATGTTGAATAAACAAATCAATACAAAAAAATAAAATTAAAAAAAGAAGTAGTAATAAGACGATTTAATAAGATTATTAAATATTAGCAAATAAGATCTGGCTTTTTGTTCGTCCTTTACA